AAAACAGGCAGCTAGCCATAGCTTGCTGACCTCTGTCCTAAGGAATTAAGCAGAGTTAGCAAGATTTATTATATAGATATTCTGAAAACATAATATTTATAAAAACCAAGGATTAAACACAACCAAAATGCCCAATATAATGGAAATGAATAAAGGGATTATTGCAAATCCATGTAATGGTATAATATCGGTTTACTGAAACTTTGTAATATTAGGTCAATAAAGTAGAATATAACATTGCACACGTAGTTGTGATCCCAATTTTATCATATATGGAAATATTCAATATGAGGATCTTTAAAGGAAATATACAAAATATTGACAATGGATATTTTCATCTTTGTCATTTTCCCTTTTATCCAAAATTTCTACAATTAGTTAATATTACCTTTGTGATCAGAAACATATTCTTAATTGAAGCTAAATCTAGCACAATCTAAATTTTGCAAAATGTAACATTAAAATATTCACTTAGCTGGTTACTGTGTTTCATTGAAAATGAGAAAAAAACAAGTAGAGATGCAGATTTAGTTGAAATATTTCATAGAAAACTTGAAATAGAAAAACAAACCAAATTAATGTATAGAAAGTCTTAATATGATAAAATTGTCACCTTTTCCAAAATTAACCTTTAAATTCAATGTAATACCAATGAAAGTCACAACTCATTTTCTTGGAAATTGACAGAGAAATAAGAAGAGCCAAGATGACTTTGAAGAGGAAGAAGTTCATTGATCTCACCTTATAACATTTTAAAAATTATTATAGGGGCTGGTCCAGAGACATTGTGGGTAAATTCTCCTGCTCGGCTTCAGTGGCCTGGGGTTTGCAGGTTTGGATCCGAGCTGTAGACCTACACACCGCCCCTGAAGCCAAGCTGTGGCAGTGTCCCACATACAAAATAGAGGAAGATTGGCACAGATGTTAGTTCAGGGACAATCTTCCTCAAGCAAAAAGAGGAGGATTGGCAGCAGATGTTAGCTCAGGGCCTATCATCCTCATTAAAAAAAAAACGAAAATAAGAAAACCACTATAACAATGAAATGATGATACTGACACATGGATAGAGTAATCAATAACCTAGAAATAGACTCAGGCCAAAGAAAGCTTGCTATGGGGATTTGATCATAAGTGCCAATGTTCAATTTTATCTGAGCCCTGTGCTGCCAGAAAGCAGCAATGGCTAAGAACTCCCCCACCCTACCATTTGTTCTCTGAAATCCGCCTACAATTTTGTGTTCCAGGAAACGACCAACCTTAAAGTACGCCCTTGGGGGCCGGCCTGGTGTACAGTGGTTAAATGTGCACATTCTGTATGAAAGTTCAGCGGCCTAGGTTCGCCGGTTCGGATGGGGTGCAGATATGGCACTACTTGGCAAGCCATGCTGTGGTAGGTGTCCCACATATAAAGCAGAGGAAGATGGGCACAGATGTTAGGTCAGGGCCAGTCTTCCCCAGCAAAAAGAGGAGGATTGGCAGATGTTAGCTCAGGGCTAATCTTCCTCAAAAAAATAAAATAAAATAAAATATGCCCTCACACATCTCCAAATAAGACCCTTCTGCATCCATCTGCTGATTCCCTAAGACTCACAGATGAGTCTTTTGTTTATCTGCTTCTATAAAACCCCAAGCCCCCTTCCTTTACTTTGAGATGCTCCTCATTAATTTTCTTCCAACTGCTATAGCTTTATAGGATAAAATCATCTCCTTAATTTTTCAGTGTATTTGATCTTTCCCAAAAGGCAAAAGGAAAAATACATACCATTCAATATATGGGCTTGGAAAATTGGTTACAGTTTGTGGGGTAAAAAGAAAAGATCCCTTCTCCACAACATAGACATAAATAAATATAGGTGTAAATATATAACGTAAAAAGTAAACTTTAAATTCTTTAGGAAAATATGTTTATAGCTTCAAGGTAGGAAAATATTTCTCTAAACAAAACACAAAAATGCAAACTAAAAAGGATAAGTGATAAATTTGAGTATATTAGAACTAAAGGTATGTGCTTCAAGGGATAATGTAAACGATGAAAAGCAGTGAATGCAATTGATAGGAAATTCACAATGGAGTTTGTTATATGGATTTCTATAGTTATTTTATGTCAGAATTATTTCATAATAAAAAAATGCGGTAAGTTTGAGATTTAATCTTTGGCAATCCTCAGCAGGAGTGGAATTTTCCAGACCCTTAGAACTCTCAGCAATTAGTCCTCAGCTCTGTCCCACATCGAACGGTGCCCAGGCTAGAATTACAATCTGTGTGTTTTAGTCGGTTGATTTTAAATCTTTTTAAACAATCATGGAGGAAAGACAATAGTCTGAATTGCCCCCCTTTTGCACTAGCGATGGGAGGTATTTTCTCAGCCTTGTCGTACCTCTCAGAGCCCCTGGTGTTTTTTCTGGCGGTGCAGAGCCTGGACAATTACCCTGGTCATCTCACCAGGCAAAGAGTCTTAACAGCAGGACTCCCTCTCTCAGTGGGTAGCATAGTATTCTCTCAAGAGTATAGCAACAGCTCCAATATCCAGGTTCTTTTAAAGTTTGCTCTTAGCGATAATAACATAATATATGTGAAAGGGGTATAAAAAAAGATAAGCTCTGCTTTGGGAAAGAATGTAGAAAAAAGATGATGATAGAGAAGGCTTCCCACTGAGAAAATGAATTCAGTGGTGTGGAAAAGAGAATAATAAAACTGCCCCAGATTTGTATATCACTGTTTCTTCCTAAGAATGCTTAGGGATTTCTCATTCTGTTACTTCATTTTATCCTTACAAACAGGTGCCCAGTGGAGACTGGATCTCAAGATTTTTAAAGTTAGAAAACTGCCAAGTGGGAGGTTTATGAGCAGTTTTTGCCTTATTGGCTGGAAATTGGTATTTGTTTGGGGGCAGACTTTCCTTTATTCTGGGAGGGACAACTTGAATGATCCGGTCTTTACGTTCTACAGATGTTAGGCAAATAGGTAAGTACTTCGATTATTCTTGGAAAGTCCTGACTCAATGAAGTAATGCAAATTAAGGCATTTATTTGATACATGTGAAATGGGCTGGTTATTAGTCTGACTTGTGTGATTCTATGAGGCTGCAGCCTTTTCTGCATACAAATATTAAATGTGGGCTTGCGTCGTATCCCTCCAAAACGGTATGATGAAGTCCTAACTCTTGGTACCTGTGAACATGACCTTATTTGAAATAAGATTAGGTCATACTTGATTAGGGTGGGCCCTAATCCCCACTGTATGACTGAAGTCCTCACAAGAAGAGGGAAATTTAGACACAGACGCACAGAAAAGCACAGCCTGTTGCCAATGAAGGCAGAAATTGAGTAATGCATCTACCAATCAAGAAACTCCAAGGATTACCACACCCACCAGAAGCCAGGAGAGAGACACGAAACAAATTCTCCGTTGGAGCTCCCAAATGAACCACCTTGTGGGCACTTTAGTTTCAGACTTCAGAATTCTGGCCTCCAGGATGACGAGAGAATAAATTCCAGTGCTTTAGACCACCTAGGATGTAGTACTCTGCTATGACAGCCTCAGGAAACCAATAAAAGTCAAATTTAGTTTAACTTAGTTAGTTCAGTTTTCCCTAAATCTGGATTTAGAATATCTCATGCTGACATTTATATATTATTTGTTAGCGTGGGCATGTGTATAGGTGCAAGAGAGATAGAGAAGAAAAGGGGGAAGCAAGCTTTGGGTTAAGCAATTGTTTTGTTTTCATTAGCAGCCTAGACCAGACAGCCCAAATAGATAATTAGACCTGATTTTCTCTTGAAAGAAACTGGTTGAAAGGAAATCAAAGGAGCTGAAGTGAGGTGGCTCCCTTAGCTGTCATTTAATACTAATTCCTGATTTAGGAAACTCACCGTCAGTTATTGAAGCTGCTGCACACTGTTGGGGTGACCCAGACCACACCATGTTCATGCGAGTGGGCATTACACTCTAAAGTAATGGGCATTCCCACTGCCAATAATTCTGAAAATAAGTTGAATGACAGAAAATGGGTTGGCACTTGAACTCGAGGAGAGTCAGTGATTTAGGAGGTGTCTTCCTCTTATGTCTGAAGGTAAAGTTGGGCCCCGTCTTATATACATAGAGATACTTCCTTTGATGTGAGATGAGTCAGAGCCCAGAATGTAAAAGCCTATGTGTAGTTAGGCAATGTTTCATTTGAGAGTTTCATTCTGTGGGACATAATAATAGCCCTTGCTAGTAGTGATTTCGAGCCACTTTATGTCACACTTGCTTGAACATCAAGCCTTTATGAATTCTTGATAAATGTTACTTGCTTGTATGAGTTGTGCTGTGAAAACTAGCTGGAGCACTAGAATGATCAGTGGCCACGGCCAGGGAAGCAAACCAAATCTAGCAGGTAAACTGACATCGATGCAGGAGTGTGATGGGAAAATGAGATGACAGGAACAGGGTAGACTTGCTCCGGGGCATCCACGAAGCTTTCCAGGGGAACTCTCAGAAATACACAGGGTGTTGTTAAGATGTCCAAATTTTTGACATACAGAACAATGAGAACACTAGCTTTAATAATTTGGACATTTCAGCCATATCATTTTAAGTCATTTATCTAGTGAGGCTGTACTCTCACAATATCCTGTTGTGTCTGGCACATGGGAGGTGCTCAACAGATATGCCCCAATTAGGCTTTCTCTCTATTTTAAGGGTATAACAAATGAGGAATGGAAAAATTGGTAAGGTGACAGAGTTGGCATGAGAGAGGTTGAGATTTAGTACATGATTCTGTGGCCCCAAAATTCCTCACCACTCTGTCCATAGATGCCACTCCTCACTTCAAGAAATGGAATTTGCTTCTCCTTTCCTTGGATCTGGGTTGGCATATGGCTGTTCTGACCAATAGAATGAGATGGAACTGATACCCTGGGAATTAAGCAACAATTCATAATAAGCAGGAATTAAGAAGACTGGCAGTTTCTGTCTCCTTCCTTTTCAACAGCTTACTCTTGGATTGCTCTCTCTTTAGACCCAGCCCCCCTACTCTAAGAATCCTAAGCCATATACAGAGGCAATGTGGAAGAAAATTGAACTGCTCCGATCAGTGATTCCAGATCAGCTCCCAGCCAAGAGCCGGCATCAACTGTAAAGCCATGTAAGTGAACTATTTGGACATTCCAGACCAAGGCCCCAGATCACTGCAGCCCTATCAAACACAATGTGGAGCACAAGAACTGCTCAGTTGGGTCCAGTATTCCACAGAATCACAAAAGATATTAAATTTTTATTTGAAGCCAGTAAGTTGGGGGAGAGGAGAAATTCTGATTTGTTTACATAACAATGAATTACTAAAACAAATCCTATAGCCTTGGAATTAAGCTGCTAATGCCATCCAATGCAGAAAAGACACACAGGCTTTTGTACCATAGTGAAAGCAGACTGATGTGCTTTTGTCATTTTTTGCCATTGTACAGATACAGAGAAAATAGTCAAACAATACTCTGAATTTGATGGGATGCTGATGGTCAGATGATGAAAATCCTTTGAACATCATCAAGACCACAACAACACTTCAGACAAAAACTCTTGCAGACATCTGTCCCTTCTTTATATGTGTGTGGGACTTGAGAGACATAATAATGCCAATAAAAGTTATTTGTAAATTTCTACTTCCTACATTCTTATAAGATGCTAGCCTTTCATTGTTTCAATTACTTATCATTGTTTAAACTAGACTTAACTTTAAAATGTATGCAATCCAATTTAACATGGAATCCAAAAAGTGAGAGTCCTGGCTGCACTATTTACATGACATTAATATCAACCCAGGAAGAGTGAGCTGGACACAAAACTTACTACTTTTACCTTATTTATTCAAGCCTCAAAACCTTGCTCTCCGTCTTTGATTAGCACTGAGAATTGTTCAGAGTTTATTGTCCATAAAATTCTTGACAAAACAAAGGTTAAATGTGCTTTGGGGGAGAAAAAGCATTATGTGAACATTATAACTATGTATGAAAACGTGTGTCATTTATCATTGCCAAGTTATTCACAAAGTGGCAACATTTCTTCTTCTTATATGAAAAATATAGACTGGCAATCAACTTAATTGTAACAACTGGATGATTTTTCAGAGACTTCAGCTATGATTACTTCTCCCTCAAAAATTTACATTGAATGAAAATGACACCATAATGCCTGAAAGTACAATAAGTAATAGACTCAAGAAAAATTATGACTCTCTGGAGACTATCTATTAAAGATCTATAAACATTTTTTATAGCAAATGAGCCATTTTAAAATCAGCTTTTATAAAACATTTTCATGAGATCCTCTATGTCTTCACAAGACTTCAATTAAACTGCCTTGGTAAAAATCAAGGATTATCTCTGATACATTTTGGTTTTTTTGGTTTAATGTAGAAATGGAAGGTTCTCCGATTTATACTGTGACGTTTAGTGAGGTTGGGTAACTCTAGTGATAATCCTTGAGTGACAACACTTAACTCTTCTCTCTTCACTCATGAAGAGCAAGCCAAAGTGGTGAACTGAAGCATGAAATGATGAGTGGTCAAGTACAATAAAACATAAAAACAAACACAATAAAACAGTCCCATTTGATTTTCTTTCCTATACTTATCCTGAGCTGGAGGTACAGTTCATGTTTCAATCTTCAGAGACTAAAGTCTGTTGTGTAGTCCTTTATATGACTGAAGGAAGGGTGAGACTTGCCTAATCGTTGTTCTTTGACTTAATTTAACTAGTTTTTCATATTGATGAGACAAATAACACTAATGAGCTAAATTAAATTAGCTGGGGCATTTGTTTTTATAGTTACATATCATAACATTTCCAACTTTTTAAATACTTTTTGATTCAATACTAAAAATTCATGACCTATAAATGCCATTTATTATGCCACTTAAAATTGGGTGACATAAAATCTGTATGCAAGAAAATCTAACTTTAAACAGCAATTATGTTCTTTAATATAAGTAGTGTGGCCATGAATGTCCACTTCATTGTTATTCTTCTAATAGTACTTATGTATTTTATTTGATATGTTATTATAGATGACATATTTTAGAAATATGAATTTATATATTTTATTTAAACAAAATGAAATTAATTAGTTCTCTTCTATGTGTATAGCAATTTTGTAAAACTAGATATATTTTGACTCTTAAGATTAAGAGAGACATTATTTTGTGCACACACTATAGAAGATATCAGTTTTCTTCCAAAAATCACATAATTATTTAGATTTTCTTTTAAAACAGAAGTTTCGGAACACCTGTATGAACTACTACATGCAGTACGGTAATTAGTGTGCTATCAGCCTACACCAATTTCTGGGTAGTACATAAAACTATGATCATCATTGAGGTACTGTATTGTTACTTATTGCTCCATAAGAAAACACCACAAAACTTAATGGCTTAAAACACCAATTCTGGCTTACAATTATTTGGGTCTAGCATTTGGGCAGGATGCATAGGGCTCAGTTCACCTCTGCTCCATAGATCCCAGGGCTGACCTTAAACTAGAGCTATAAGACTCAAGATGACTTCACTCACATATCTGGTACCAGTGTTATGTTGGCTCAAAACAGTTGGGGCTGGCTAGGACAACTGAATTGCTCCTTTCTTGGTGTTGGCTGGGCTTTCACATAAGTTTGGAGCTTTGGCTCTCCTTCACAGGACCTCTCCCTCCGCTTGATTTCTTATCCCCCAAGACCTCTCTTCCCACTTGGCTTCTCTCTACAGTAGGATATCCTGGACTTCTTACGTGGTGACTGCAGTTCTTCTGAATAAAAGCAGAAGGAAACAGCCTCTTAAATTCTGGTCTCAGAAGTCCCAGAACATCACTCCTTGCATTGTATTGGGAAAAGAAACTCACAAGGCCAGCGCAGATCAAAGAGATGGGAAAATACATTCTACCTCTTGATGGCAGGAGCAGCAAAGACATGGCAAAAGTCCATGGTCACAGGGAGGCATCATTTATTGTGGGACCACTTTTGACAATCTACTACAGGTATACATAAATTTTCCTAATGTTTTTTAATTGGAACAAAATATGTTACTCTTCAGGGAAGTGTTTCATGAATTAGCTAAATGTCTGCTATTTAGTATTGTTTTTCTGATCTGCTTTTAGACTATAAATTTGGTAGAAAAATTTTTCTTACGTTACCATTTTTAAGCTCCTACTTAAAGCCTATGGAGCAAAAGTTTTTTTTTTTTAATTAAAATGAAGCTTTTGAAATATTATTGGAATCGAACTTTAAAATATATATATATATACATATACAGTGGAAAATTCAGAAGTATTCGGAGACACTTTCTGATTTCATTTTTCTCTCTCCTATTGCTAGTGAATAGCAAATATATATTTAGGGAATTTTTCCTGTAGCTTTACTATGTCCTCCATGTGTTTCCCTCTGAACTTCAGTCAAGGCATCTCTTTTCCTAGGCTTCTCTTTTTTTTAGTTTAACTATGATAATTATTTTATTAAAACACAAGATGCAAAGAGAATACAGTAATTACTCATTTGTTATTTCATTTACTCATATTATTAAAATTGATTGATCATGTGCTGTGTATCAGGTACTGGAATTAATTCTATAAAGCACACTCCTTCACCCCCAAAACCTTCCACTGGGAAAAGAAAACAAGTGAACACTTAATTATGATACAATGTGATAACTGCAACCATTATAGTCAAAACAAGTGTATTGAGCAAAACAATAAAGGAACTCTGGTGCAAAGGATTTGGGCAAACACCATTGGCATCACTTGGTGCAGGCTGGAACTCACAGCTGAACAGTCAACTCTGGTCTGCCTTCTTGTTAACCTGCAGACAGGTATGCGTGAGCCAGGCACTGGGAGAGCTGTGGAGACTATGCTTTCTATGACAGATGATGATTTAGGATCAAGGTAATAAATATAGAGAAAAATGAATATGTAATAGATGTTTGTAAAAACGTGTTTATACATACAAATAAACAAACTCGTTTATACAATACATGTATATATCTATGTATATATACATGGACATGATTTTTAAATTCTTAAATATAATTTATATACATATTTTTTAAGATTGGCACCTGAGCTAACAACTGTTGCCAATCTATTTTTTTTCTTTCTGCTTTTTCTCCTCAAATCCCCCCAGTACATAGTTGTATATTTTAGTTGTGGGTCCTTCTAGTTGTGGCACGTGGGACGCCACCTCAACATGGCTTGATGAGTGGTGCCATGTCCGTGCCCAGGCTCCAAACCAGTGAAACCTTGTGCCGCTGCAGTGGAGCACACGAAATTAACCACTTGGCCATGGGGTCGGCCCCTATAATTTATATTTTAACTATCACTTTAGGTTGATAGTACAGACTGACTCTTCTCTCTTCACCTCCAGGTTTGGGGTTTCTACCTGCAACCTGGGATAGCTGGAGTTGGTGCTTACATAATAAAACCAAGTCATTAGGGGAAAGAGGTATAAGGGTCTTGGTGGTCAAGAAGCACCTTCTCCTCCTATACTTTTATCTTCTCCCAGGTTCAACTGTGGACATCCTCCTCTGTGCCTTCTTTGAGCTTCCAAAGCTACTAGATGACAGAGTGGGGGTGGGGCTGGGGAGTGATGATCTTGAGGGTTCCTGCATTTATCTCCACTGGAATTTGTTGATGTATTTCCTTTTGTCCTGTCATAGCACAGTCCAATCAGAGAGAAACAGTGGGGCTCTTGTGAAACTGAAAGGACTCTTAGGCTGTGTTCTCTTTCAACCAATTCTACAATGTTCTAAGAAAAGTAGCGGAAATCTTGCATTTTCACCCAGGCTCTATCTCAGGATTGTCTATGTAGACCTGCTACAACTGGTCCTTCTCTTTTACTCTTCGACACCAAGATGCTGTGGGAAAAAATTCAAAGGTTGGTTGAGCCCTAAATTACAGCAAAGTAACTATACTAACCTCCCTGTACTCTTGGATCCCCAGATCTCTCTAGCGATTTACAGCATCCTGGGCTTTGACTCCAGGAGTGTGCTTTCAGAGATACATGACAGTGGCTAATGTGTTTGCTCGTCTCTCTGCTCTTCCTCCTCCTTCCTCTGGATTGAATAATTGTTAGAGTTTGTAATAATCACCATTCTTCTCTCCATATTGCTTATACCAGGATCTGCCAAGCACTTGATGTTCTTGTGTGTTGTACCTTCAGACAGTCTTTCCTGGGATTAACAATGCCATCTATGCTTTGGAGTCTTAAAGCTAAACACTGATTACTTATTTTCCTGAAATTTCTGTAGTAATAGCCTTACCTTAAAGGTAATAAAGATAAAATCTCTTAGCGTCCTAACTGAGAAAGGAGAGGGCTCTTGTCAAGATTGAGCAGAACTGAGGCTGGGGTGGTGAAGGGATGGGTAAAAACTCTTTGGAAAACCTTTTACAACATCAGTCTGACCCAGACAAAGCCCAGTGAAGAATGAGTCTGGCCAACAGTATCTGACTGCATTGGATGAAAGAAAAGAAATAAAGCATGACCACAGGTAGCTTGGTGGTGCCGTTCAGCAAAATGGACAGCAGGAGTAAAAGCAAGTTCTGGGAGAGATGATGAGCTAGCCCACCCATCGAAGTGTAATGTTTTAAGAAGAATAACTTCGTCTGGGTTTGAGATTGCTGTCATTTAGTATATTACTGAACCCACAAACAAGCATTACAAAGGTCATGTATGAAAAAAATATGTCAAACTATATTGGCTTCATGGGCCCCAATGATAAATGTTATTTGTAGCATGAATTTTTGGTATTTCTGAGGCAAAGTTTGCCCATATGAGCAAAGAATCCTCAGGAATATTAGTAAATATTGGAAATAGTAGCTAGTTCCCCAGTCTGTATGCATGGAAGGAATCTCAGGAAGAAGTGGGTTTTAAAGCAATTCTAAAAAAATAACAGTGAAAAAGAAATGTTTTCATTTTCTAAATAAATACTAACTGTGGCAGAGATTGCTAGTCATCTTCCAACACCTACTCTTTCCTTCTTTCATAGTAATATTTATGAAATTGCCTATTTTTAGCTCTCTACCCTGAAAACCAATACATTTCCTCACTGACCACCATCCTGGGCCTTGTGGCTAAGTTCTAGCTGATAAGATGTAAGGAAAGGTGTTTTGTGTGTCTCATGCTTCCTTCCTTGAAATATAGCTGGAATGTACACTCCCTGGCTTCTTCATCATCCCCTCCTCCTTCCTGTGGGTTGGAATGCCAGCATGATAGCTAGAGAGGACGGTCTTTTGGCATTATGAATCGGCCATGCCTGAGAGAATAAGACAGAGGGAGCGTGGCATTCTAAGGACATTGGGGAACAAAGTTGCCCTATCATCTCTAACAATCTTCTCTGGACTTTTATGTGAGAGAAATAACATGTTTCTTTATTGAGCTACTGCTTTGGGATCTCTGTTTCTCACAGCCGACATTAATCCTAAGAGATATATTAATCCTAAGAGATATATTAAATAACTATTTCTTTTCTCAAGATAAGTTGAACTTTGGGTGGCAAAACTAACCTGAAAAACAGATAGAAATGAGTTAAGCATTAGCAAAAGTTCTGACTACTGGATCTCCATTCCTCTCTAGGGACACATTCTTCATTCTGACATTGTCAATTTATTTTATTCATCTTTTGTTGACTTCCTTAGCATCATATTTGCATACCATTAGGGCTTCCTTTTTGTTGCCCCTATAATATAGATCAGAACTTGGATCTGCAGATCCCCCTATGCTTTAATGCCTTTGCTTACACTATCTCAAACTAAACCATATTTAATATATTCAGCTATTTCACTGATTGATCCTTTAACACTTCTCTCAAGCCCTGAAAGCTATGTGATCAAAGAGTTTCACTTTCCGTGCATCCAAATGATCTGGAATAATTGCTACTTTACTGCCATGGAAGTTTAGTTGTCTCCTCGAGTGCTTTTGGGCAATACAGCGTGGTGGGCTCTTAATGTCCTATTTTCACCACTTAGTATCTACTGACCTTAGGCAAATTTCTTATCAATTTTACAACCTCCCTTTATTTTTTCCTTAATTTTAAAATGGAATATTAATGAAAATAAAATTAAATAACCCAAGGAGAGCAATTAGCTGAAGCCCTGTTAGAATAAGTGTACTACATATACTAATTAGAAATAGTAAAGGATTTTATTTCTACTTTGCAATCTTGAAAAAACAGTGAAATCATCTGTTATTTTCCCTTTTTAAGATAACATTGCACATATTAATTCATTTATTCAGCAAATATCTCTGACTTATTTTTATGCCAGGTATTGGAAATACTGTCTAACAGACAAACATGACCCCCACTGTCACAGGTCTTCTCATTTGCTTCTTTGTATATAAAATTCACCTGTCAGATAATTGACATATCTTTTGGGCTTGATATTCTTTCAGGAGTTCTGTGATTTTCTTATGTGTCTTTTTATATTTTTACACTGTCTCTTGGTAATTGTCTAGAGAAATGATGCATTACTGCTTAATTTGTTTTAATTCATTTTTCTAGGTATGTGTATGGGACTGCATATGCTTCAACGATAGTCATTTAATTAAAGATAAGTGATTATTTGGATGATAAGCCACAAATAAAAGAAAGATTTGGAAGAATGGTTTGAAAATGGTAGTTTTATATTTGTTTGCCAAAAAGTCAGATCCCAGTGAAATCTTAGATTGGCTGCTTGATCTATTTAAGTTTCTGTTTTTCATTGGAAAAAAATCGACTTTGAAAGTTTATTTTTTTTCTTAGAAACGCAGTTTGGATATTATAGATGAAAAGTATTCAGAAATCTTAGCAGCGTGTCTCTGTGATTCAGCATAAGGGAAGGTGGGCCATCAGGAAGAGGACTCAGTATACAGTCGGTTCATCTGCTGTGCGATCAGGCCTCCCCGACATGGCAATGCTCTCATTTCCCCTCTCTTCCCTCACATAGCTTCCTTCTCACACCTTCATTACACCACCTGCCCCTCCATCAAAAACTTGCTCATTACTTATTGTCAAATTATTGCTCCTGAACTAGATAAAAGAACTTTAGTTCCCCCAGCTGATGAAAAAAATGGAGAAAGAAACATTCTTTCTGTTAGCACTTCATTTTTGTCACATGTTTGCCACCTTACCCAATGGAGAAAGTAAGTAAAATATAAAAAATCTCTGTCAGAAACTTGAAAATGGTGTTAGTGGAGAGCTCCTAAAGAACCCCAAAGGGCATCACCAGATTTGCACACAGAAATCTTTCCTAGTTGAGATGGTAAAGTAAGTCTATTTATTAAAAATCTGCAACATATCACATTATGCAGTATAAATCAACATAATGTGATATGATCTGACATCAAGTTAAAAAAGTGCCTTTTCTGCTTCTGCTCAGACCATATGTTCAAATTATTAAAAATATTCACAAATGCTTCTGTTTTTTTGAACAAACCCAGGCTTCTCTCAAATAAACCATCTTGACTTACGTATTGTTTGGGTGGAAAGATATTTTCTTCTCTTGGGTAATTTATTATCATTTATTTTACAGATAATGTTTTGATGTTTTGCCAGGAAAGCTTTTATAAAAGAAGCAGGTAGGTACACACATATATATACACACAAAGTAAACTACTGTCAAAAAGCAAGGCCTTACTGTACAATGAAGATATATAACGTATTTGGAAAATAGAAACATTTACTCGTGATATCAGATGCTCCTTATAGTAAAAGCTTCTGAATATTCTACCTTACTTTAGACTCTTAATATCCAAATATGAGTCGTTGAATATCTAAATATGATTGCCTGTTCATTGTCGCTAATTTTGACCCGAATTCTGTTGACTGAGCAATCTCCAAAAACCTGCTCACCCATGGGTAAAGAGAAGCTAAGCTTTTTCAAAAAAAAAATAATTATTCCATGCAATTTATGGGAAAACAGCCAAGTTGGCAAGTTTAAAAAAATACACACACAAACGCTGGAACATCTTGCCTGGGTTGATGACATGACAGCCTTGTAGTATATGACCAGCTGGGAGCTGGCTGGGGTTCAGAAATGGACTCAAGACAGCGGAGCAGAATGCAAGACGAGGTGGCCCTTCGCTAGCGTGGCTGCTTTGTTAACACCAGCCAGAAGAGCGCTTGCTGCTCTAGCTTTCCCTCGCTCTGCCCATAGCTGATTTCTTGTCGGCAGCAGAAAAATGTGACAGCAGGGGATACAAGAGAATGTGAAATGAGACTGCACAATCTGCTCGAGCTCCCATCACAGTCTCCAGGCCTGTTTCTCATCTTGCTCTGGATCCCCCCCTGAGCTGATGCAAGCATGGAGTTCTTGCGGACTTCCAAGGGGTTTCCGTGCTTCTAGTAGAATGGAAGGTAGGAGGGAGGCAGAGGAGCAGGACACGGGAGCCAATACAGTTACTTGGTTCATTATCATTTCCTTGAAATAAAGTCCAATGGTCTCAGGTCAAACTCCAAAAAAAAAAAACCCACCTCATTTATAAAGGTTTCAAAAGCTCACTTTTGCCTTTTTAATGTCTCTGCATTTCTTGGTTTTTTTCATCTTTTTTTAAACCGACCCAGAGAATGCTGAAAAAACAGAGAACAACCATGGTATTTTCAGTCCAACTAGCAACAGGATGCTTTCAAAATTTTGCAAGATAGTCCTTTCCCCCCAGACTTGCAGTTCAGTTGTGCAGACATGAGAATTTCCATATTTTGGTAAAGTTCAAGTAAGCGTCCTCCAAACTTTGGCATTTATCTGGACCAGTGTGAATGTTGCATTTTTTTTTTAATTCACCCAACACTAATTACTTTAATATTTTGAGATAACAAATACTGATCTGTAATCTTTCCTGGGGGAAAATATCTGAGGTTCCCCTAAGAAATAGTTTTTTATTAATATCCTTGAGGCTCTTGAAACATTGGGTATTGTTATGTCAGCACATCTGTGTATCTTGATGGAAATTAACTATCTGGCATTACTGACCCAGAAGGGCAATGTCTGAGGTCCTTTGATGAGAGGAGATACAACTATAATGAAAATTTAAGGATTCTTCTCCTTATCCTTCCCTTCTCAATTTATATTGCAGCCTCTCTGGCCATTAGGAAAGGGAAGGAAATAGTGTAAATTTCTTAATAGCTAAATGAGGCCTGAAATAGACCTACAAATTTAAAAGTCTGTAACCCTAAGCATAAAGAGAAATTAACTACCTTCCAGCATTCCTTTAGAAATGACAACTCTTTATCTAGCAATAATAATAAAGACTGGAAAAGTTTACGCTCTAATTTAATAGCTAAGCATTCTTTTAAAAATTTACTTCTACCAATCTTTCATGCTTGGTCAGCCATAAGAAATAAAATGTTGAAAATCTCATAAGCACTTATATGAATTTGTGTTTAGCATGCAGTACCCTATTATATTTGCAAAAAATATGCTAATTAGGAATTATAAATTAAAATATGTAAGGTAAAATAAATTCTAATTGCCTTAGCTGTGAAATAAAAGACTGCCCTTTATTCAAGTGTTGATAACTCCTCAAGAGAGCAAATTTGGGTATCTGTATAAACTAACAACTCAGCCAACTTACACCCAGTTCTCTCTCATAACTTAAGTTTCCTTTTCTATTTACATTTTTTTTTTACTGAGGAAGATTAGCTCTGAGCTAACATCCGTTGCCAATCTTCCCCTGTTTTTGCTTAAGGAAGATTCACCCTGAGCTAACATCTGCACCAATCTTCCTTTATTTTATATGCGGGTCACTGCCACAGCATGGCTAATGAGTGGTGTATGTCCATGCCCGGGATCCGAACCCATGAACTCAGGCCACTGAAGTGGAGCAGGCCAAACTGAACGACTAAGCCATGGGGCCAGCCCCAGGCTTCTTTTTTTGAAGTGGCTTTCCTGGTGGATATTCTATGCTCTAATTGACTTCTTTCTCTAGACCTCATGAACCTTTTCTTCTCATTTGTTCTCTGTTATATTTCTCCTTCACTATCTCAGCTCCTAGCTAGATTTAACTTACTTGGCTTTAACTTCTTATAATTTCAGGATTCAAAATAGATATTTAGGATAATAATAATAATAAGAAGAAGAAGAAATGAACAAGGAAAAGAAGAGTGGCAAGCTATGATTTATTGATTATCGATCATATGTGGCACTTTGTATTGAATGTAGCACATATGTGATCTCATTTAATTTTGATAATGCCATAAAACAGTCATTTTTATCTTCATTTAAGAAAGGAGTAAATTTAGGCTTAAAAAATGTAACTAAATTTAGCAAAATCACATGGTTAGAGAATAATAAAACTGGAAATTAAATCTTGGTCTCTGTGAGTCCGACACTAATACTCATCAACACTAAGTTATATCTTTCCCTTATTCATGGATTTTCATCCCCATTTTTATGAAATGTCTGCCCAGATCATAAACAAATTGAAAATATATCTTGCTTAGCCCAACCATGAAGCATGGTCTTAATATCTTGTAGCAATTTTTTTATCATCCAGCCAGCCCTGCACGGACAGATTTTGTTTGTAACCTGTGATGATGCTGCCAAATTTGTGTGAAAGGTATGAACCTGACAGTAGCAACAGCCCATAAAACTCTGATATTGAAAAATCTTGTTTTCTTTATTTTTATGTAATTCAATTTAATTTCTAGCTTGAGCTCCCATTATTGCACGATGGCAAAAAATCTGATCTACTTAATTCTAGTTCTTCATGGACCAATTCAGTGTTATCTCAGTCATTATAGGCTTACAACATAGTCTCATTTAGTGATAAAATTCCATCTCCAATGCATCTCTTTCTCCTTGAAGAAATTCTGAGGTGATGTCATTTCAGAACTAGCATTGAATATAGTAGTATCACATTTGTCTTCCTCTGTCTCGTTTCTCTTCTAACCTTTCCTTCCCTTTTAAAATTATCTTATCAGACCATTTGCGTAGAAAAACAAAGTAATATCTGGATATCTGTGGGCCTAGTTTTGGCTATCACTTGGCTAACCCTCTCATAGTCAATCCACTGATATTTCGGCTATGTCTTTGCTCCATCTCAAGGAGGGCGACGTATAAGGGATATCCTAGGATACATTCTCTCCTGGCTTTTCCCAGGCTTCCATGAGTCTTGCTGGCATGCTTTCTTTATCAAGTGTCAACAGTATCTTACTTGAGAACCAAAGGACCTTCAGGATGTCCTCACAAAAAAATCAAAATGCCAACTCAAGCCCTCTCGTTTTCAAAGTAGAGTATGCTTTCCTCCTTGAGTGTGAACTGGACTTTCTATCTTCCAAAAACAAAGAAAGGGAAAAAAGTAACTACAGTGAAGAAACATCTTAAGTGCCTCCCTAACCAAGTGATTGATGGAGGTTAACAACCAAAGATAGTCGTGTTGATATTATGCATCATGATGTGATGAGAAGGGCAACTCATCTCCGTAGTATTCTTTGCAAGACCTGTGAGAAGCCATTAGACAAACCCAAATCAAGGAACATTCTATGCAATACCTGATCATTACTCTTAAAAACTGTTGAGGTCATAAGAAAAAGAAAACTGAGAAATTGCCATAGATCAGAGGAGACTAATGCAACAAGACAACTAAGAGCAATGTGATATCATGGACTAGATCCTGCAATAGGAAAAGGACTTTCATTAGAGAAAAAATGCATGAAATCCATGTAAAATCAGTAGTTTACACACTAGTATTGCACCAACATTACCTTCTAGTTTTGACAAATGTCCTATTGCTTTGTAATTTGTTAACAAAAGGGAAAATTTCTTGAAGAGTATACTGTCTCTGCAACTTTTCTATAAATCAAAAATCATTATAAAATAAAAAGGTTTAAAAAAATTGGGCTATGTATACACCAGGTATATGAGATGATTGAATTGAGCTGTAGGAAGAAAAGATTATGAGACATCCTTAATCACAGCATGTGAGATCATCCTCTGACACATACTGAGGAAAGCAAGGGAGTGCTACCTGGATGGGCAGGGCCATCCTCACTCCTTTGTTATGTATCAGTATATTATGAGGTATTGCATTTTATTAATGTGAATATATGGACCACATTATCTAAATAGAAGAATTTCCAAATATTTTGAAAAGAGCAGATATTTTGAAGGAAAATCCTGCATACCACACAGAGATACTTTTCACATCTTATGAGAGTGCACTTAAGGAATTATCAGAGTTAAAGATGAGTTATATATTTTTCTTTTAATAAAATAAGTATTCCAAAATTGCCACATTTTAACAATGAGTAAGAATGTAGTTGCTTCCCAAAGAACCTCCTACTATAGAGAGAAGGTTTGGAAAAATGACATTTATAAACGTGTCCGGCTTTGGATAAATTTGTTGCTGAAAGCAAACAGCGTCACCTATAAAAACTCTCCTATCAGCATGCTTTAAAACATCAGAATTCTAATTCTTAATCTGATTAAGAATCTTCCAAATGAATTTCTGTGACTGGCTTTGAGCATATTTTGTAAAAATATGAAAATGCAGCATTTTCTAGCTTGAAAGAACAACTGATGAACATCAGGGAAGCTCAAAGCCTGCTAGCCAATTTCAGCAAAATATTTTCATTATTAGTG